GACTCATAGCGACCCCTCCTTGGGTTTCTGAGGCAGTATCACTATGGAAGTAGATTGCCCCATCTTCCTTCCGAGGAGTGGCTGGGGGGTTTGAACCTCCAGCCTTCTGTGTGGTTAGCAGTCAAGTGCCTTAGGCACTACACTACCAGAGCTCCCATTAGAATTTAAAATTTTAAAACTACTTCAGCATACATTTTTTTTCAGCACAGGGAATAACGTTTAGATACCTCTTAGTGAAGAGAGCTTTACAAATATCTTCGTGAAGAAGTAAAATAGATGAAATGTTGAGTGTTTTGTTTGCATTCTTGTTGAGTTGTTTCTAGGTAATTTTAGCTTTCAGGATGTCATTGGCCTTCTCCTTATGTCGTTGAAGTGATGGGAGCTAAGGTAATGATGATGAATGTGGATGTGGATAGAAATCTTAGACCACTTACATGCTATTGTACCTTTATAAGGTGGTACTTTTAGGAATTGGTAGATTAGATAATCCTTCCACTTGTCTCTTTGGCTCATGCACAGATTATCACACACACTTAGGTTATTTGTTGTTGAGAATGGGCTCTTTGTGTTGCAGCATGAAGAGCTTGCCATTTTAATTAGAAGTAGATGTTTTCTCTGCTACAGTGCTGTTTACGTGGATTGCTTTATTTTAATACAAAAGTATTAAAATACATGTGTCTGAAAATGAGCAAAATTGTAGGGCTTCTACTTCTTAGAGAATGACGTGCATGTGAATAGCAGAGCAGTGTTTTTTTGTGTGTTTTTTTTTGTCACTGTAATAAAAATAGATGTTTCTAAACTGGCCATTCACCATATCAGCCCTTTTTGTAACATTTCTGTCTGTTTATTTTTCAGCTTTTTTAATCCAACTCAAATGAACTAAAAACAGAAGACTTTTTAAATGAAGTAATATAAAGATTGACCTTATCTCACTCTACTCCCCTCCTTGCTTCTCTGCTCATCTAGCACCTGTCTGCTCTCACATTTCCCATGTCCTCGCCATTGTTGGTGCAAGATTTCTACAGCTTCTATCATCTGGATCAGCCTCTTGTTACCTGTATTGCCTCAACCACCTCTTTCTTCGAAACCCATCCCAGTTGGCCTTTTGTTTTTGTTTTGGGCTTGCAACTAGGTGCTTTGATTTCATCACCATCCCTTGTTGCTCACCCAGCTTTTTGTTATTTTTTGCCTTTCTGCTGTCCTATATTTTATTTTGTACTACATTTTGAGAAGTTACTATTACAATAAAACTTAGATTATTCTAAATAGTTTTCATATTTAACAAGTTGGATCATGTTTTAATCACTTCTAAAGTTTTGATTGAATATTTTAAGATATATAGAATCATTTGGAAATTGAATATGAACAAATTTATCACGTTCTTTTATACTCCGAGTAGTCTAATACATTGATTAGGCCACAGTGGCAGGTGTGAGTTTTCTTTACTCATTGGAATCAGCCCACAAGTCTTTTTGATGACTGGTGTGGGTGTGTCCTCTGCTTTTGCCCACCAAGTGAGCTCAAGGCCAGTTGAAGGACTTGTGGACTGAATGTTAGCTTGGGTTAAATATTCACATAGAAGATCAATGGACTCGACTGAATAATGTCTTTGACACCTAATTTTGATGTACCTACAATTTTATTTGTCTGGGCTGTAATATAAAGACTTAAGTACAAATAAAAGGACTTTATATTCGGGGTGAGAAAATCCATTTTGGAATGCTGAATTTCTTCTTTTTTACAGAGAGTACACATCGGCAAGTTGAGAGTTATCAACCTGTGAAATAGTATGCAGATTTGTATCTTCTGTTGTATCACATCTGCTAAAATTTTAATTTTTAATATTAGTTGTTTTGGTTTTCTTTTGCTTAATCTAATAGCTCTATGTTTTGTGCGTTCTCAAGATAATGATCAGTACTGCTTTCTGATACCAACGGGTGCTACCTTCTTTCTTCAAATCTCTTAAGACCTGAATTTCTTACTCATATCCACATTCCCTTTTTATAAGACTGTCTTGTTAGCATCCTTCTGACTTGTTAGACCCTCTAATATCATTTCCTTGGACCAGAGAGGAGTTCTTTAAAGTAATAAAAGTGGTTTTCCTTGAAATTGGGAAAAAGCATTTCTAGCACTATATGATTGGGAATTCAGTGAAAAAGGTTTGTATGATTTCTCATTGGATGACACTGACCCAGCTATGTTCTTTTTTACACCAGAGGTATACTGATGACCTATATAAGTTTTGCTTGGTACAGACACTGCCATTTGGAGCAGAATCAATTTAAAGTATGAAAACGACATTCACAATTAAATAGAAATCTTCTGTATACAGATAGACATTTAGTTATATCTTTGAAATAGGTTTCTTTAGAAGCATTTCTGCTATGAGAATATACACTCTAATGATACCTCTAGGTTTGAAGTAAATTATTTGATTAGAATATAGTTGCAGACCCTTCCCAAAGTTTATTTTCTAGAAATGTTAGTAAAAACCAGGGTTATTCATTACATTTTTATATCATCACAGTTACAGCAATTTTAATTTTTTTAGAAGTGTTTTAGAACTCTTAATACAGAAGCTTTCTAGAATCATTAATAGAATCAAGGTTTATTCTTTACATTTTTATAGTACTACATTTCTACCAAGCAGGATTTTAAATAAAAATAAGGAACCAAGAAAAATTAGTCATCTTTGATCTGTTTTACTGCATGTCTACTTACTGAGGAAAAAGTCTAGAAACCTGTCATCCTGGGTATGAAGACATGAGTCTAACATACTCTTTTAATTCCAGATTATTTTGTGATCGACATCTCATTTCTAATTGCCTAAAAATAGTGTGCCAAATATGTTTCACTCATATAGCAACATCTTTTTTTTATTAACTTTTCTAAACTGTCAACCTTGTTTTGAAAAATGGTGTTACCTTTCCTTAAAACAGTGTGGGAAACCAAAAATAGCCTGCATGTGTTTTGTTTTTAATTCCTTGAACCTGGAAGGGGGTGAGGGGTATCACAGTTTGCTTCAATAATGAAAATACACTGCATGCCAAAAGAGATTCAGGAATGAAAATTATACCATGTTTTAAAAATGATTACCATATTGGTGTTTTTGAAGATAATCTATATTTATAAATCCATATGATATACATAAAAAGTTATTTTTGTTTTTCTAGGTAGTTGGCAAAAAAGGAGAAAGTCACTAAGGTACAAAAGACACTGGAAGAGCATATTGCAATCAAATCTACAGCTCCTGGATAATTGCTTGATTCTCGCCAGAGACTGTCAGTGTTCCTTTATTGCCATTACCAATAAATCATTGCTTTTGTTCACATGGTTTCACCTGTGTTTCTGTTGTAATCTTGATACATGCAATTGTAAATAAAAGTCACTACCTTTGCCAAGTTTAAGTTTTGTCATTCTGAGTAGGTACATTCTCTTTTCCATTTAACTGAAAATTGGTGAGCTTTCGAGTTTAGAAAAGCCTTCAGTGTCCAGCATCATACGGATTGAAAGCCAGTTTCTGCCTTTAGAGGAGCCAAACTGGGGGCACGAATGGGGCATATGCTCACGTGTGCGCACACACACACACAAAATTGTCGATTCTCAAAAAAAGTAATATTGTAAACTTTATTTAATATGCAAGTGATTGAAATAAATGGACTTAGAACAGGTAGCTGACCATGTTGAAATGAGTACTAACTCATGTTTATTAAAAGGTGTTTAGGCCGGGTATAAGAATTGCTCAGTTTACTAATTACCAGAAATAAACAGGCATAATGAGATTCAACTACTCAAACTATTTATGGGACCACAAATTCTCACATTATGATTTTAATTTCTGAGTAAGCTTTAAAAATTTAAATCAGCCATTTTCTTTACTGAATGTTGAAACTAGAAAATTGCAAAAAGTATATTATAAATTCTTAAGACAATAGGAATTACTGTCTTTCCTTAAGTAATGATTATCTTAGTTACCAAAATATACAGAGTAGATACAGTGAGTACATGGTTTAAGGTTGAAAATGAGTTGATTAAATGTCTATGTTTACAAGATTTTTTGCAAACATCTGGTCTTTATTACTTTTTGTTATTTTAATCTGTAATCTAGAAAGCATTGGTAAATTTAATTTTTTCAGTTTCCCTGAGTACTTTAAAAATTCAGTGTTTGAAAGAGTGTAAAACTGTATGAATTGTGATTCAGTCAAATAATGCAGTGTAATACCATTTTGGGGGATTTTTGTCTAGGAATATGGTAGATAAGATACATAGTTTGCCTTTGGGAAACAAATGTATTTATAATGTTAACGAGAAAATTATGCACAAGTGTTAGTGTTAAAATAGTCACTCTCTGAAACCCAGGTGTCATTAGATAATGTTTAGTTCATTTGTATGTATGGTAGCACATTAAGTGGTCTGTAGTGATGTCTGTATCCCAAGTATTTCCTGGTTACATTACCTTGGGCCAAGTGGTGGCAGAAGAATGAGAAATAAAAGTTTTATAACACTCCTTGTATAGACCATCTCAGATTAATCACATCTGAAATCAAAGATAAGATTAATACAAAAGTTTTGTTTTGACGTTTTATACACTTAACAGCCTTTTTTGGGTGATTGTTAAAGTGCCTCATCTTAAGTGTTGCTGACCTCATTCTATTTATACTTGACAGTTGGAAAACCCAGTGAGAGTAATTTCTTATTTGTAAAGGATTGGGCATCAGATTTATATTGTTTATGTAACTTTTCTATAACTCAATTAATTGCAGTATATAAATATTCCATAATTATTCAAGTTGTAAATAGAGAAAAATTAATGTTTGTAGGTAACTGTAATGTGTTTCACTTATGGGAAGTTTTAATACTACCAATAAACATACATAATTGACCTTATTTAAAATACCAAGCTGAGATCCTGATATTTTCTCCTAAAAGAGTCTGTGTATGTATATGGAGAACACACTGAATTTTCCAGATGAATAAGAAGAGCATTTGAAAAATGTCTCCTTGTTTTAACCTTATAGTATCTATTAGATAGTACTTTGTAGAAATCTAATGCTAAGGGTTTTTCTTTTATAAACCTAAACCAGCTCATGCCATGTTGTTATTTAATACTTAAATAGAAATACAGCATTGGAGTTAAGTAAATTAGTTATTGTAAAATATTCTTTAAGCTTTAAAGAAAAAGAAATTTAAGGTTTACCCTTGTTTTTATTGATACTTACATAGTTGAGTAGGTTAATTTTGTGCAGGTATGTACCTTCTGGAGTTGATCATTTCTAACCTCAGATAATGCTATCTTTAGATAAATAACTTATAATAAAAAATACATTCACTGATCTAAAGGAATATCTTTAAGGAATACTGTGTTCATTTAAAATTAACAGATCTTTAGAGGTGTCATTCTGCATGTTACAAAGCCTTTCAAACATAACATTGTTTTATAGTATATGTACAGCTTATTTCTGAGGTAAATCAAAAGCATTGAATAATTCCCCAATTAAGTATGCTTATAATTTCTTGATACTGATAACAAAGAATATGCCATTTTAAGTGTGTTTTTAATTGAAATTATTTTTACATCAATAAAGTATGATGTGCTTAGCACAGTAGGAGTTAAGTGGGCAGAGCAGAGATTTTATAGGCTAATAAGATCACTTTGAAGCTTTGTGGCCCATGTAAAGTTATTGACTGCATAATGAATTATGCCTTTAAGGAAACTAGAGTTTGATTATGTTACTAAATTGTACACAGCTAGGGTCAGTGTAGAAATCTCATGTGACCTCAAAGATGCTTGTTTTGGTTACCTCTGCCACTCCAACAGAAGTATACCGCAAATGGGTGGCTTTAACAAACAGGCATTTATTCTCTTAACGGTTTTGGAGGTTAGAAGTCTGAGTTCAAAGTGCCAAGCTCTAGGGGCTGGGTGAAAGCCCCTTGACCTTGGGCTTCAGCTCTGCCTCCTGCTCCCGTCCCACTGAAGCTGGAGGCTTTCTTCACTCAGGCAGCTGCTGGCCCAAGGTCAACAAATAAAATGGCACAACCCCAGTATTACCAGACACCACAGCAGGCCACTAGTTCATGTCCAGAGGTAGTCCCAAGAGTGGCAGGAAACGTGGCAGGCTGTTAAGTGAAGATGGCTACAGGCGGGATCCCAGTGTGCCCTAAAGCTGCAGACCATGCCCAAAGCTGCTTACGTACTGGAAGCAGACCATATCCCTAAAGGAGCTTCCGAGCTGCTTGCAGCACATCCCACCGTGGAGCTGATTGCCAGTCTCATGGGGCGTAATTACAACTAGCCGCCCAGCCACTCAAAACCAGGCCCAGCCAAGTTGACCCATAACCTTAACTACCACAAGGCTAAACTCTTTCCTTCCTCTACACTTGCTTGGCTTCTCTATGGAAAGAGGAAATTAATTTTGGGATAAATTCTAAGTTGAGCAGGCCAGAAAGTTGTGAAAACATGATTTGTTGGTTTATGTTTGGACATAGATTCAAAGGCATTGACACGTGCTACCAGAGAGCAGGGTCTGATGGAATCCCAGCTCGTCTGCTTGGTAGCTGGGCCTTTCTTTTTCTTTTCTTTCTTTCTTTTTTAAATTGTGATTTTGGTGAACATCTACAGAGAAAATTCCCATTCCACTCAACAGTTTTTGTTTCGTGACACTGATTGCAATCCCCAGTTAACGGCTCCCTTCCCACTTCCTCCCTGTGGTTCTAGGCATTCTTACCTTCTGAGCTTTCTCCCTGTGCACGTGCTGCCCTTCTGATCTCCCATGGTTGACTGTTCTAAGGCGTGTACCTCCCTGGTGTAATTGTTCATCTTAACAGGCCTGTTGTCTGGCTGAAAGTTAGGCCACAGCACTGAGTTCAGTTTAAGCCCATAGGGTGACTAGGGACCATAGTCTTGGGGCTTTCACTAATCTTTTATCAGAGCATTAAGCATGGTTTTTGTTTGTTTGGTTTGGTTCCACATTAGTCTCCCAGTCTCTCCAGGATCTCCATTTTTTATCCCTTTCCAAGTGGTTGGCAGCAGAATCTGGGCACCATCTATTTCCTCTAGTCTCTGAGTCCTGTTAGCTGTGGCCTCTTGAGCAAGTAACATTCTTCGGAACTTTAGTTTTCTGTTGTGTAAAAATAGGAACACCTCCCTCTTCGGCTGCTTTGTGAAGATTAGATGTGCCTTGCTTTGTAATTGGAGCAAGACTAAATAGTTCTCTGTACTCTGCTGTCTCTCTGCCACTGCTGTTTAGCCCATCATTACTTGTATGGCATACAAGTATGGCAATAGCCTCTTAATGGTCTGGTTGCCTCTGACCTAGCCCTGCTCTAATGTTTCTTCCACATAGCTGCTAGTTGGTTTCCTTCAGGTGACATATAAGGCCCTTCGTGGTGTGACTGCTTCCCCCATTCAGCCATCTCCCCTCATCTCCAGCGTGCTGCACTGTACTAGCAGTTGCCAGTATATACCCTGATGTCTCATGCTTTCTTATGACTGAATTCATCCATCTATCAAAGTCCTCCTTGCTCTACAGGGCACGGTTCAGAAGTAGAACGCTCATCTTCCACGTGGAGATGTGTGTGCGCCTCACGCACAGCCTCATGTCATTGGTGTTTTGCATGCTGCTATGATGCTGAACAGGGTTCAGCAGAGCTTCTAGACTAAAACAGACTGGGAAGAAAGGCTGGCAGTCTGCTTCCAAAAGCCAGACAATGGTCAAGTCCACAGCTGATGATGGGGATGGTGCGGGACCAGCCAGCATGTTCTGCTGTGCATGCCGGTGCCCTGAGTTGGGGGCTGACTTGGTGGCAGCTAAAAACAACATATATTAGACTATATTTTAATTATTGGTTTTCTTATTTTCCCAGCTATGTTATGAGTAGTAATGCAAGCATCTTGTTCTTCATATCCCTCATTAAATGCAACATTGAAAACATTCTCAAATTCCAAGATGCTTGAGTTGACCAGGAGAGGTTAGCAGGAATGTGCAATTAAACAAGGTAAGGAGGAGAAATTAGCAGAGGTTAAAGAAGGCACATGGTGTGTTCATTGGATGACAGGCATAAGAGATTTCTTAGGCAGTTGCAGCTGGAAAAGCAAGTAGCAAGCATACCATGAAGCACCTCTTGACATGTGTAAGAGATATTTCACCCTGAGGGAAAGAGGGGAGAACAGGGAGACGAGTCCATGATGACTAATAAGTTTCTCCCTTTTACGATTGGATGGAGAAATGTTAGATCCTAGGACAAGCAACAGGTTTGGATGGAAAGATGAATATGGTTTTGGACATGTTGCCTGGAACAATGTATCTGAAATGTGTTTTGTGGGTTCAGATAGAGATGTCTGGAAGGTTGTTAGTTGCTGTTGAGTGGACTCCAACTCATGGCAACCCCGTGTACAACAGAA